TTCTTCGGGTTCGGGTAATATGCCCAGGCCTACATGGAATAATGCAGTACTTTTGTTTCCACACATCTAGCAGCCACTTGCTGTTAAACAATTGGTAAAACCAATATAACAGGCCCATTAATGTGATTTGGGCCTTTCAAGCCTAATATAATCATCTCTTTCTTTTTCTAAAAAAAACAGAATAATCTCTTTCATGTATTTTATAATTTACATTTATTGCGTTTCCTAAAAATAACAAAATTTTGCAAAACCAATGGATTCACCTATAATCTTTCTCCGGCCGTTCAATGTCTCAGATGCCGAAGACGTCCTCAAATGGGCCGGTGACGATGACGTGACACGTTACCTCCGTTGGGACTCCGTTCAAACCATAGAAGAAGCCAAACAACACATCTTAAACAAGGCTATACCACACCAATGGCGCCGTTCCATCTCTCTCGTCCAACACGGTCGTTCGTTAGGTTACGTCTCCGTCAAGCCAGATTCAGGTGATGGTCGGTGCCGAGCCGACCTTGCATACGCTATAGCTAAAGAGTTTTGGGGGCGAGGGATAGCCACGGCGGCGGTGAGGATGGCGGTGGAACAAGCTTTCGAGGATTTTCCGGAGTTGGTGAGGCTACAAGCGGTGGTGGAGGTGGAGAACAAAGCGTCTCAAAGGGAGTTGGAGAAAGCTGGATTTCGAAAAGAGGGTTTGCTTGAGAAGTATGGTTTTAGCAAAGGAGTGATAAAAGACATGTTTCTCTATAGTTTTGTTAAAGATGATTGTTTTGTGTAATAATTAACGGTAGAAATAATGGAGGAAGTAAGTAAATAATATCCGGTTTTTACCGAAATCTGAAATGATACAATAGCAAATGTTAGGTTTAGAGAGATAAAGATGTTTACGGCAACAAATGATGGTGCCTTTTGTCTACATGTTTTTGTGATGTCATGATTTAAGTTTAAGTCGTGTCGTGTGTCTACGGTGACTCTTTATCTTTCTTTCTCTGATGTTTGTCTTGTTCGTGATGAAAAGAAACTCTACATTAATAATATTAAGGTCATTAACTTGGATAAAGATATTAAAGAAAAAATGTATATGAATGTGAAATATTAAATGGCAAAAATATCCATTCTTTTACAAGCTACGGTAATTAGTTTATGTGTTGGTTTAAGATACTCCCGTTATTTAAAAAACAAAAAAAGTCTTCTTTGTTGCATGGATTTCAGAAGTTGAAATTGAACGGTCAGAGTTTTGAAAAATCAGAACTTGTAAACCATGCACTAAAAATGCGAATATTTGTGTTATAGGAAAAGATAATAATAGTGGCATTGCGCCAGTAATTACAGAGCAGAAAATATTCGGCATTATACAAGTCGGATGAATTATATACTATAATATGTTGAACATCAAAGTCGTTCCATATCTTTAATTATTTAGGAAGAAATACGAAAAAAGAATGTGAAAGTCTTTGAGAAATGTCAAGGAGCACGCATGCGTCCTGAACAGAAGTCATGCATAGTGTCGTCAAAATCAAATTGATATATGTTTTACAATTCTTGTCCAATCAACCTTTAATGTGTCAACTTATTCAACCACTTCTATACTTATGTATTATAAAACTTTGATCTTACATATGACATCCTTAAACTGCGTAATTATTGACTCGAGATTTTGTACTAAGTTATCGACTGGTGATAGTTTTCCGAGAGATTAATATTTGTATTCTTAGTTTGCATAAGTCATTATTTATAGATTGGTTGTCAAGAGACACGCACAAACACATCAAATTAAAACTTTAACTGTGTAACAAACGCACTTGTTTTTTTTTTCCTTAATTCCAACAATTTCAATAAATTATAACCAAGTAACTCAACAAACACCTCTTAATTACCGAGTAACTCCAAAACCTTAATAGCAAATTGTATTCATCGTGTGGTCACGCCTCTTCCATAACCATTATTACCTCTCTTATTTTTTTTAAATTCACTCATTATTTTTTTACTTTCAGTGTAAAAGATAGATGATGCGACAGGAAGCAGTGAATGCTGATGTGAGCTTATATGGTCCCTACTTACTACACGTGGAGCCAACTCTTAGTAACTCAGAGGGTTATATTGCGGGACCTTTCTCTGACAGCAACAGAGAGAGATTAGATTCTGATCTCACGGACGGTCACGATGATATGATGGATTGTGTTCACGAGCCATGACACGACTCATGATGCTTCATCAGTTCGCCACTGTGAGTGACTTCACACTATTATAGTCAAATTGATGATTATCAAGTTTGCAAAAGAACACTGCTTAAACCTATTCTTGATTTCTTGTCCCCCAACTGTGATTGGTGATCGAATAGTTTATTAATTTTTGATCCATTAAGTTTGTATCATGGAAAACAGTCACAACACACATATATGCAAGTAACAGTTATCAAATCCATAAAGATAATAGGAACTTTTAGCCAAATGCGGAAATGTTTATATTTAAAAATTATAAAATTTAGTCATGGTTTAAAAAAAATTCGATGGAATACTGGAACCCCTGGTCAAAATAAGATCGCAACTTTAATTAGTAACAAAATTTGTGGTACCTGGAGGGGTTCAGAATTGCTTTTTTAGTTACTAATCAAATAGACAAATAAAATGTATAATAAAACGGCCGGAAGAAATAAACGACTAAAATTAATAGATAGATAAAATGGATGTTTGAAACATATATCTAAAAGATGAACTGAAAATATATGTTTTATAAACACCAGTTTATCAGATTATGTTAATCGTTTTCTCTTTTTTTTTTTTTTATAATTGTTTTAAACTATTTTTAGTTATATCTAACCGCATTATCCATAACCGTTAAAATATATTGTACTCATCTAATTGATTGGGCATGCATGTTTACAACGGTATTTTGACATCGAAAAAATTAATGATCTCTAGCGATTATATTTTTATTTTTTTGAAATGAACAGTATGTACAAATGGTTTTAGGGCATAAAAATATAATTTCTATCATATGATCTTCGAACTATTATTAAATAAAAATCAGCAACACTAACAAACAAAGTAATGACGTACTAATTATATACTAGCAATTAGCCATAGATTATACGAATTTATTATACTACTAGTTCTGGTTTAAAGTAACGTTAAACATTTTTCGTGTTATACATTAGCAAGTGTGTGTAATGTCCACCCAAAGAGACTAGCCAGCTACGAAAGCAAAAGAGATATTCAGTTAAGATTGTGAAATATATTCGTACGTATGAATGATCGTATCTCATTCCATTTCGATTCTGAGCGACCAAGTCCACCCACCCACACTCAGCTCCCATGCTAACAATATAGTCATCATCACCACAATGCGTACCTTACATCATTACACAAGAAAAATATATCAAATAATGATCATAGCTTTTTTTTTTCTTTTTTTTTAAAGAGAACCAAAAGTTCTCGTAATCATCATCTCGATTTGTCTCCCGCTGAAGAAACCTAGTTCGTGTTTATTTGAGTTACTTTACCCCCTCTTTCTCGTTACAGTTTGGTTTTTATTTTGCTAATAAAACTTTGTAGATCTAGTACTTACTCTTCTTTTTATATCAAAGAAAATTACTTAAATATATGCGGTTTTTAGTCAAATCATCAAGGCTTAAAACTGATAACAATGCACATTAGTAAAATTGATAAATCATGTAAAATTAAGTGGGGAAAAAAAATGATTGCATGATTTATGTTTAACCGTCCGATTATAGTCATCAAACTTGAGAAAACGTGGAAATTAAAGATTGAACATAAATCACCATTACGCATGATTATTGATTGGTGAGTGGTAAATTTTATGGGTAAGTTGTAACCAATCATATTTTAAGTTTGTTTCGCTTAATCAAGATTCCATTCTTTCCATCACATTCCATTATGCTGTTTTGGAAAATAAAATGCATAAAGTGGGTTTCTCTAATTAGTCTTTATTAGGTTTCGCCAACACAAATCTCGTTTGAAAAGGGGTTTAACAGAAAATTCTGACCGATACCAGTATACTTAGATAGTCATGATAAGAAGATATGATAAATCCATCTCAAAAGCCTTGAACTCGATCTAAATTCTTTTTTTTTTTTTGCCTCATTTCTGTTTCATTTTCATTTTATATATTGAAAGTTCGGGGAATATATGTGACATGATTTACTAGCAAAGGATCTCGTTTATATCTCATTCCTAAGTTTAGATGAAAATAATCAATAGAATAATATATTTTATTTATACATTTCCGTTTTCAAAAAAAACGTCGTCTTGAATATCTTTCTTATTCCCACCTTTTAAATATGTAATGTTGTCACCTAACAGTGATAGACAATCACATAATCACCATATATATATATGTGTGAGACGTACAATTTCTTCTATATTAAATGACATGCAAGACGTAAACAACTTTGCGAACTTCTGTTTTGAAAACGTTTTTTAGTACATTATAATGTGAATTCCTAATCAAAATATGAAAAGTTATGTAATACTATATTACACGCAATAAACCAACATATATTTCAATATTTGTAAATTGTGATAGTACTCCTCTTTAACAAAAAAAAAAAGTGATAGTACTCCTCCATTGATAGATTAGTCGTAACTCGTACGATATACAACAACACGAGTATTTTCAACTTCTTCTTTCTCATTAAAAATTTCTAAAGTTCCTTTTCTCTAAAATAAACAAATAAAAGAAATAAAGAATATAGAAAGAAAACTATAAGAAAAATCCAAAAAAAAAGTGATAGTACTCCTCCATTGATAGATTAGTCGTGAGTGGTTCTTTGGCATAACCCAAAAAGCAAAATAATAAATCAGTAAAGAATAAAAAGACAAAATAACATCAATAATAATTTAAACAATAAAAAGAATTTAGGAAGTTCCACTGGTGAAGTGGTTTTCTTCACCCACTGAATTCTATTGTAAATTAATCTCTCTCTCCCTCTATATATATGATTCATATACACAGACTTTACACAAAATAAAAGACAAAAAATATGAATATAAATATTAGTATTTGATAACAGAAGCTAGTAATAAGTGTGTGTCTCTTTAGTGCTCTCTGTTTCTTCTGCTATGAAAAAACTTCATGGCGAATTTTGAGGATATGGAAGAGAATCAGTGGGTCTGTTTTCTATTTTCTTTTCTTTTTCTCAGTTCATCGAAACTATAACCCACTAAACAAATAAACCAAATTATTTATTCATAAAAAGCAAAAAAAAAAATCAATTTCTTGTTTTTGTTTCTTTCTCCAATCTCTCTTGTGTAACGTTTCATGTTACAACACTTTGATAAATAAAATTTTAGTAAGAAAGTGCGAGTAACTCGGGAGTTATAAAAACAAAAACAAAAAAAACAATTTATATAAAATAAAGCTTTCGTCTTTTCAGTTACTTTTTTATTTCATTTTCTCTACTTTTCTCTTTTGTCACACTTTCATTTTATTTTTTTCTCAAATCATGGAGGCAACAGAATTGCATTAGCTTCATTTTCTCTCAAACTTCCACAATCTTCAAACTTTCTGATCTTCCAGGTTAGTTCATCATCCAATTCTGCATAATTGAGATATAAAGTTATGATTTTTATGTGTAATTTGAGTTATAAAGTTATTATTTTTATGTAATTGAGTTATAAAGCTATGATTTTTATGTGTAATTGAGATATAAAGTTATGATTTTTATGCGTAATTGAGTTAAAGTTATGGTTTTTATATATTTGGGCAGTGAATGATGCTAAAGAAGAGATCAAGAAGCAAGCAAGCTTTAATGGCGGAACCAAACCAGAGTCAGAATCAGAAACAGAGTAAACCGACGCCGTTTCCAAGGCTATTCACAGCTTTTAGTAGCTTTAAAAGCTTCACTGAAAACGACGCCGTCGCGAGTCCAACTTCGATTCTCGACACCAAACCTTTCTCTGTTTTGAAAAACCCTTTTGGATCCGATAACCCGAAAACCCACGAACCCGAAACCCGTCTCAGACTCGAACCCAAAAGAATCGGACTCGCCATTGTCGATTCTTTAATCCAAGACGAAACACCCGAACCCGGACCGAGATCCGGGACGATTCTATTCGGGTCTCAGCTTCGGATCCGGGTCCAGGATTCTCCACGTTCCTCGTCGGATTTCGGGATCAAAACGAGGAATTCTCAACCGGAGACGAAGAAGCCGGATCCCGGGTCGGGTCTTGGATCGCCCAGAATCATCTCCGGCTATTTCTCGGCGAGCGATATGGAGTTATCGGAGGATTACACATGCGTGACGTGTCACGGGCCTAACCCGAGAACCATTCATATATTCGATAACTGTATCGTAGAGAGCCAACCCGGCGTCGTTTTATTCCGGAGATCCGACCCGGTTAACGAATCGGATCCGGATTATTCCCCACCCGACAGTTTTCTCAGTTCTTGCTGTAACTGTAAGAAGAGTCTTGGACCTCGTGATGACATTTTCATGTACAGGTTTGGCTTTTTTTCTTCATACTGTATTTTACATAACAATTTAATGTGAAATTGAATATTAATTATGGCTAATTAATAGTAATTTTATGTGGTGATTTTAATTGCAGGGGAGATAGAGCTTTCTGTAGCAGTGAATGCAGGTCCATAGAGATGATGATGTCAGAGGAAAATGATATTAAATGAAATAAGTTTTTATTGAGTTATATATAAAAAAAAGTTATGATAATGACTATGATTAATAAAATGTTAAGATATGATGAATTTTGTTTAGTTGCTTTTGTTTTGGTTTGGAGTATATGTATCTATGTGTATTATGTGTCTACATGCATAATCATATATACATGTTTTACTTTAATGTTACTTTAAATCCTTAATAACAGTAGAGATCACATTAATTCAATTCCATTTGCGGTGTCAAGACAGAAAACTAAAACACGAGATATGATATCTCTATCCTTTTTTTTAAAGAAAAAAAATCTGGTCGTTTCATGTTTTGATCCTCGAAATAAGAAGTTTTGGACCTAGACTCGAATCTTTTTGGATTGGCAATTGTAACATGCTATTTCTCGTCATTAGCGTTTGAAATCGTGATTTTGAAAATCTCATTAGAAAGTCACCGAGCTATCGACGCTGGTATAATATTTTTACTTTTAACAAACCATATTTTGATATGTAGATAATAAACAATGAAATGACAGTTCAGAAATGTAAAAGACAGTTGCAAAGATATGTCACATTGAGGGATATTCAATGGCTAGGTTACGTAGAAATGATGTTCTAGATCAAGATGCTATATGTGATATAACAACTTGTACTATGGCGAAGAGCATCATCTAATTTGATTTGATAATCAAAATCCTATTCCCTCCGTTTAAAATTAGTTGTCGGTTTAAAAGTTAAATTTTGTTTAGAATTTATTGTCGTTTTAGGTTTTAAATGTATATTTTTGATATATTTTCCAATTATATTCCTTAACTCTTAATTTAATAATTAATGATATTATATAAAACAATATACTGTATTATTAACTAGGGATAAAACAGAAAAATTGAATATTTTCTTAATAAACGTGAAAAAATCTTAAACGACAACTAATTTAAAAGAGATAGAGTAGGATCAGGAAAGAATAAGGAAAAAAAAAAAAGTTTAAAATTCAAAAGTCCAAGCCCGGATCAGGCTATTACTATTCTGGATCATGGACCAATTATGTTTGGCCCTCTATTGATTGATTAAACTAAAGCCCGAGCCCGTTTCAAATATTCTTGTTTTCGACTGAATTTCATAAATAACATAAAATGCTCTCTTAAACGGTCTGGTTTAATCCACAAACAAACCGTACTAAACCGAAGTTCTATAATGTATGGTTTTCGTTATTATTATGTTTGAAGTAAAAGCAATTTGTATGGTTACTATTGGTATATTCTTTTATCATGATTTTTTTAGTTGAACATAAATCAGCTGGATTGACTTAAACACATATTAGTATTATTACACGTAGACCCAAATAACACTCTCGCTAACTTGTTATAAGCTTAGGAATAGTTTACTAGTTTAGGCTCCCGCAGCTCACCAAAAAAAAAGTTTAGGTTCCCGCAAGTCCGCAACTCGTAAAGTCGAACCCATGAGTCTTACAAAGTCCAACTTTGAAGTCAGCTTATGGCCCTACGAGTGGCGGCTTGATTGGCTAATACACGTGGTGGGCCAGATAAAAGTCTTTGTTTGACAATTTGTTCTATTGTAGTATTGTATTTTGAGGTTCATAATACATTTTTCATTACCGTCCCGGTGAACAATTCATTTGGTAAAAACTGTATAGATACATCATGAAGTAATTCAAAATTCTCTATAGCTTCCATGTCTTTAACTCAATTTTTCACTATAATCTCAGCCAAGTTCGACTAGGCTATAATCGCGGATGTAGATCAGTTAATATGACCATGATTTTAATGAAAGCTTGTTAAAACCCGAGAAAGATTGAGATGTCCGAGAGAGCTCTAGGATAAGAGTTTACAAAGGCAATTGTATTCCTTTTTATATTACTAGTATAGTATTATCTGATCATTGGAGAGGTACATGATTTATCCTAACCCATGTTCTAAAAATCTCCGCCTAACCTGATTACTCCCCGCTTAATCGCTAGACCTACCCTATCCGTTTCGATTAATGACTAATCCCTTAAAGAAATCAGTTACCCGATTATTCTCCGCCTAATCCGATTACTTTCCGCCTAATCCGATTACTCTCTGCCTAATCTTAAATATCCCGATTATTTTTAGATTCCAAGTATAAAAAAACTTTTTATTTTTGTTATTCAATCATTTAAATTAGGAGTTTGTGATGTTTTATGTTCAAACTTTAATAAAAATCATAAATTTGTAATAAAAATCATAAAATTTTGTCTCAAAAATACAGTTTTATGTGTTTACTACAATTATGAAAACAATATTAGATTAATATGTTTTAAAAATATTAAAATAATCCTAAAACTAATCCCCGATTTTAATCTGATTTTCCGATTAAGCGTTAGGCCCATACCGAATGTCCGACTAGCGTCTAGCAATTTTTCAAACAAGGATCCTACCAGACCACGCTTATATAAGTGCAAATTTGCATAGTATTTTGAATGGACACCATATTTTATAGAATATCGAAAACATAATTATTAAATAAATAATTTCGAGGGTTTGCACACATAGGCTTACAAAGAAAGACAAACCCACATGCATTATGCATACATGTATACGTGAAATTTTATTTTTGGTTATTACTTAATATGCGACCATTAATTGAATCTTCTACTTCATAAAAAAGACACAAAAGCTACCTTAATAAAATGAATTATAGCTCAATTGGTTCAATAAGTAATAAAGGCTTCTCTATTCCGCTAATTTTGTCAAAAATCCAATCAAAGCGTCATTGTATTAATTATCAAATCACATGCATGCCCGAATAGGTTGATGATGATAATTAATTTATACAAAATTATCAAACCTAACTCAAACATACTCCATATTTAAAAATAGTTAAAACTGAGGTTTTCTTTCTTTGGTTAGACATTTTGTGGAGACTAAACATGTAACCGAAAACAAACTAGTATACGTGATTTACCATTCTTTTTATTTTTTTGTTATAAAGATATCCCACAATTTTATTATTATCCATTTTAGGACATACATGAATGAGACATGTGATGGGTAGGACAAGCATTTCCAGTTTGCTGCAAGGTCGAGAGGTTGAACGGAACCCAACGAACCTATTGGACGTATGAAACCTGTTCTTGTATCCACCAATCAATTTTTCTACTCATACTGATTTTGCTTTTATGTCTCAAGATTTTTACTAGTCACACACAAAAGAATCCAAAATATGAATTTCTATATTCCCTGTATGGCTGTATCAGTTTTATCTTCTATGGTGATCTTTTTATTATTATTTTAATTATCTAGTTGGGTTAATAGGCATCCCCACATGCATATAGGTATGGCCCTTTACTACAACATCGTTGGTCTCATATGCACACATGGCAACTATAGCTGACTCTTGTTTCATTCACAAGATTCATATTGCTTATAATTGGTTGTGTGTGAGTGTGATTCCTGGTATCATCATTTTCATGTAATTATACAAGAAGAGATCATATATATACACAATATTTAATATAAGATAGTTATATATATATATATATCACTCGACTTAACCTCTGACAGTGAGTGTATAACTATCTAATCTAATCTCAAATGTATACATTCGATCTATTTACTTTATGTTTCTAATCTCTTACATGTAACCTCCTAATAAGAACTGATTTTGACTTTTGTTTCTTAATGTAATTAATATGACTTTACTAGATCATCATTTATATTGGCCAACGCTATAATCATTTGCAATCTTTTCATTTCCTTAATTATTTTTCTTCAATTATTGAGATTGATGTTAATTTTTGTAGAATATATGTAAGAAAGACCAACTTGGCCATGGCAGCAGGCAACTAAATATTATAGTATTAAATATAGTGGATGAGAATCATTATATGACTCACGTTGAGTGGTTGATTGAATGCGTCAAGTTTGAATGTTTAATATTGTCAACTGAATACTAATGATGTTCTTAATTATGTACAGACTAAAATACTACTCCCTCCGTTTCGTTTTAGTTGTCGTTTAAGGTTTTTACACACAAATTAAGAAAATCATTAAATTTTTTGTTTTACCCTTTATTAATATATTTTATAATTTTTTCATTGGTCAAAACATTAAAACATTAATGACAAAACATTAATTTTCACCAAACATTTGCATTGAAAACCTAAAACGACAACTATTATGAAACAAAATTTTAATCCTAAAACGACAACTAAACTGAAACGGAGGGAGTATTAATTAGGGCCATTTTGGAAAAAGAAAATCTTATGGCAGATACTCCCAATCCAACCAAATTTATTTATGTTTCCACCGCAACCAATCCCATTATAGATTTGATTTGATTAGCTATCCAACTCTTCTCATGAATAAATTTGTTATGTATATATATGGCTGACATATTTATAAATATGTACACTTAAACCGATAGTACTATTAGTTAGTCTTGTAACTCTTCTTGTTGCATATACCCACATTTTCTTTGAACTTGTACACTTAAACCGATAGTACTATTAGTTGGTCTCCCTTTTTGTTACGCGTGTGAATGAAGTAAAACTCCTATAGCCCGATATGATTATGTCCATTGAAATTAAAATTAGTGACATGATTCTTGAAAGTAACTTGAACCAAAACCACACGAGCGTGGCTACATATATGTAAAATATGTTCATCCTCATAATCATTAGTGGCATACTTTATACATGCATCATCAAGTTTTAATTTGCCATAAGAATCATTTAAGTCGAAACCTAGCTTAATATTAGGGCTTGAGTTGCCACATAAATTTCTTTCACCGATTTTGACTAGTAAAACCCATTTTGTTTATGTTTTTCTCCTTTATCGTAAATTACATCGTGTTTCATTAAAAGGTGCTTACATGATTGTAAATAGTGATTTTACTATCTTCCATAGTCAAGCCTAGCTATCCACACATAAATGAACTAAATCGTAGCACGATAAATGTTTTGAAACTTCTAAGACCATTTCCAATCGTTAGTTCTATTTTTTTGCACTAAATTTGGAGTGCTCTAAAAATAGAGCAGATGTTTGCTCCAATAGTTGGCTCTATTTTTTGCTCCAAAATAAATATTCTATTTTAACATTTTGTTTTAATTCTTCACATAGTCCTTTATTTTTAAAGTTTGCGAATTCTATCCACTTAGTTTATTTTTAAGCAAATATCTAATATAACCATATTATTAAAAAATAAATTTTATTACAATACATAAATAGAAGATCA